ACATGCATTTTAACATAAAATATATCAAAATACTTAATTTTAATCATAATTTAAGTGAGACATACATTTTATTTTATTTATTAAATAGTTTCAATTAAATATTTTAATATTAAAAAATATTAAACGTTTCAATTTTTTATATACTTATATTATATATACATTTATTTATTTATTAATATATAAAAATTATATAAAAATTATCACTGTATCATTAGCATGTTAGATGTGGCAGGGAGGTATCTCTAAATGATGTACTTGGAGTCTTGGACCCACATTCACGCGTCGGCGTAGGAATCCAGGTACAACGCGAAATTCCCACTCCACCTTCCTCGGTTGAACCAAAAATTTAGCGACGTCAATATGTTACTATCTGTCTTTTCACTGACATTTTGTCATTTTGTCGTAGTCATACATTTTAGGCTTTAGCAACGCTATTTTAAAAGTTATTGGCTAATTTATTTTTTTATTATTTAACTCCATTTTGTTTTCTTCCCCTTATTTTCTCTGCAATTTCTGTTCACCCTGGATTATTGTAGAGTATCAAAAGATCAGTAAAGTTTGGAAAATAATGATTTCCTTCAAAGAGAGAAAACCGTCAACAAGGCATAAGAGGGGATATTTGACTTAAAAAATTAGAAAAAGTCAATAATGTTGAGCTTTTTTTTATTATAATTTTGACGATAACAAAACTATTATAAAATGACTAATGAATTTAGAATATTTTAGTTTGTGTAAGTGTCAAAAGCAACTTAAAATAGATAAAAAAAAGATAAATAATCTAGCATATAATTAGTTGAAGGAAGCCAAAGTCAACTGTTAAAGAAGAAATTCATAAAAAGTCAATTTGTAAATTAGATTTTTGAGAGATCATATTATTTGTAATGTGTCTTTCTATGCTTTCTTTGTGATTTTGAGAGTGAGTAAAACTCTAATTGTTGAAGAAGAAATTCATAAAGAGTCAATTTGTAAATTAGATCTTTGAGAGATCATATTCTTTGTAATGTTCCTTTCTATGCTTTCTTTGTGATTTTGAGAGTTAGTGAAACTCTAAGAAATGATATTTGAGGGTGAGTAAAGCCTTTAAGAGAAAAATTAAGATTGATTTATTGGAGATCTTTGCAAAGAGGAGTGTTTGAGTGAAAAAAAAATTTGAGAGAAACTAAAGGAGCTTTATTGGGGATCTTTATAAAAAGGAGTGCTTGAGTGAAAAACATTTTGTAAAAAGATTAAATAACTCCTATAAACTACTTTTAAACACTAGTGGAGAGCGTAAAGGAAATTCTTGATAAGGAATGAAGTTAAGGTTGAGAATTAAGTGTTTGGGTCGAACCTCTACAACATCAGTTGTGTAAGCTCTTTTTCCCTCCTCTATTTATTTTTCATTTGGTGGTTGGGAAAGAAGAAAAAATTTGAAAATTAAACTCCAATTCAACTCTCCTCTTGGAGTATATGAGTTAACAAACAATAGTGGCTAGTCCTTATTTGATGATTTTAAAAGCTTTTGGACTTAAGCATAGAAATTAGCAAAGTTATAAATTAAGTACCTTTGCTTTGGATTTAATTAGACCAATAGGGGAGTTGGTTATTTTAGACTTAATATTAACCAATGGAGGATTAATTAAGTCTAATTTATAGTACTTTATGATTTTGTAGCTTAGTCATGACCTTATTTGTAACGATTAGAAGTTGAAATCCTTAACAGTGCAATGGACAATAGTTTTATTCTTGGTAGAAAGCCAGGAAATTGAGGGTTTAAGTATTAGTTTTGATTTCTAAGGGTCCTGAGAACTGAGAGCCATTATTTTAGACTTTGCGAACCATGGACTGATAGTGCTTGGTCGCTAATGAGCTAGAAGGACGACATTGCAGTTTACCCATTTTTAATTAGATTGTCTTTCTTTTCTATTGTCAAGGCCGGCTGTGCAAAGGAATAATTGGTAGGCATTCTTTATAGATAAACTTAAGCATTTTCTAGCCAATATAATTAGAAATAGTCAATTTGTCCAATTTTAATGCGTGACATTAGACTATTGGAAGACTAGAATATTTAAGAAAGAAATAAAATAAGGTAGAAGACTTAAATTGTCTTCCACCTTAAGCAAACCCGTGAGCCATGGGAAAAGAAAGAAGGGAAAAAGCTTGGTTTAGCTTGGAAATTCCTTAAGGGTTTCTACCTTTGCGTTCTTTAGCTTCCAAAGGTAAGTATAAGTATAAGAGAATTGATGTAATGACTCAACTCACTATTGATACCATCCAATATAATCCATTAGGTCTTACAATTTGAAAATGCATCAACAGGGTTAACAGGTGTTAACCTATATACTCAGCATTCCTCTTGTGCTTTGTCTGGTCTATTTAAACTTCATAATTTTAAAACGCATAAATAGGGCTCCTATGCTTTGTCAATATGGGATTTACCAAGAGGTGTTACAATTGAATTAATAATGTCCACTTTAGCCCGTTTGGCCTTACAATTTTAAAATGCATCAATAGGAGTTAACATGTATGGACTTGTATACCTAGCATCTTTTTCTTATGTTTTGTTGACGTGGGATTTACCTAAAAGTGTCACAATTGAAATTTTATGAGATTCATTCGCCTTTTGAAGACTCATGTGTTTAGTTTTTTCTTAATTTCATATATTTGCTGTAATTTTTGCTTGATCTATCATTCTTCCTTCATGATTTAGTGGATCTGATCATGAATTCATGAGAAATTGGAAGTTGGAAGCCATGAATAGTAATAAGGGTTTTAGCAAAACAAAATATAGAAATGAATTAATTAACTTGGCTCAAGTCAATAGTGCATTTATGTAATTTTTAGCAATTAATTATTTTCTGAGTCAATGTCATGGGAATGGTTTTAATTGCACATTTAATAAATTAAAGTCAACTTTTATTTCATTTATAAAAATTAATTATTAGAATGTACAATAAATGTGAGAGAACATTTTAGAAAATTTTTTAAATAAAATAAAATATATAGATTGAGATTAGTGTTTATTAGTTGGACGTGCAAAAACATTAGGCAGGAAAAACATTTAAAACTATATTGTTTTAATAAATTATCATAAGAAAAAAATAAAATAATTTCATTCGTGCTTTAAAAATTAAGATGTTTTAGTTTTGAATGAGACTTTATTAAAATGATACAGTTTTGTGGTATTTTTTGCATAATTTTTTACAATACATGTTGATATCCACAATCCAATATAAATTAGTTAATTTTTAAATAAAATAACAAAAATTAAATTAATTACCTTTAAACTCAAATTATAAATCATACTACTAAACTAAATTAAGTTTTTATTTCTAAGAATTTAAATTTTTAATTAATAAAATCATAAATAATAATGATTGAATAAGATTCAAAATTTTAAATGTTTAAATATTGAGAAATGATACACTTACCTTCTAAGCCAACACCCCATTTTACACACCTGTGGTTCAAAAAGTTAAAATACAATATTTTTCCATTAAAGGCTTATCTCTCGTCTGTTCATAGCAAATTTATTGAATGTAATTCCTCACATTAAATTTCTCTAGATTTCTTTCAGTTTCCTTGTTTCCCTTTTTCCTCGCTCTTTGTCCGCTCATCTTCTTCCACATCTCCTCTTGCGAGTTCTCCACTATGTAGATCAAGGCAGCCCTCCTCTTCACACAACATTGGCTGTTTGATTTTCAACATTCTTCCTTCTTTTCCCTCCTCCTCCTTCTTTTTCTTCTTCTTTCCCTCTCCTCCCCTCTTCTTCCTTCTCTTCCCCCTCCTTGATCTATTGAAGGAGAACCTAGATTTGGATTTTCTTAGAGAACCCATGGGTTCTCAAGGAAAACCCAGATCTAGGTCCTCAAACTTGGAGGATAATAGAGGAGAGAGAAAGAAAAAAAAAAAAGAGGGAGGAAAGAGGAAGAAGAAAATGAATTTTTATAAATTTTTATTAAAATTTTTACAAATTTAATAATATAATGGGTTGTTTGGTTGCTAAAAAAAATTGAAAATGGAAAAAAATTTCCTTGGTAAAATATATTTGGTTCCTAAAAAAAATCTAAAGATGACAAGTGAAACTTTCATTGTTGTTGAAAATTTTATATAAACTGGAGAAAAAGATCAACCGAAGAAGAAGACGAACATGAAAGAAGATAAATACGAAAGAAGATACACCGGACAAGAAGATCAACAAGGAAGGAGATGGCACAATTTTTCACATTTTTTATTACTTATTTAATAATTACCTTTTAACAATTCATTTACCATTGCCGGTTTCAGTTCATATCTTAAATTCATAGGTGATGGGGCAAAACAAATAGGAGAGTGGCAAAGAACAAGTGCTGGAGTCAGTGCTCTTAGCACTGCTCTTTTGTTTAATAATTACTGTAATTAATACGTTTGAAAACGGAAAGAGCAGTGCTAGCTGCAATTGCTTTAGCCTTTAGCACTCTCCTTTGGAAACTCACCCCCACATTTTGCCACGTAACCTTGACTTTCGAAACTCCTGTCGGAAACGGATAGTAACGGGTAACTCGATAAATGACAGAAGTGTGGGGAAATTGCAATTTAATTAATTTTATTTTCATCTTCACTGTTCACTACCTGTACTTTTGCTCCACTGTTTACGGAAAGTCTAGAGGTAGTATTCTGATAATAAGCACCAGAAATTGAAGGAATTAAGAAGGGAAAATGAAACAGAGTATTAAAAGGAATGGTCGATTAAGAAGGGAAAATGGAATATGATCTAATTGTTCTCAAAAAATGGTCGATTCAATCATTTTGAAAGCAAAAGGATGTTTTTCTTATTAGCCTACCTTTCCTTTTCAAAATAACAAGATCTGGGTTTTAAATAAAAAAATGCATTTGATGTCAACAAGTAGGGTTTTGTGATTTTTGAAAGGCATGGATATTTATCGATTTTTTTCTTTTGTCATTCTCGTTAATTACTTTTACATTCATTTTCACAGCGGATGGGGCAAGTAATTTCTTTTTAAGAGGGATTTTCAGGATTTCAAGTGATGTACTATTGTTGTTGATTTTAAATTTGGATTGGATAAATTTATGAAAGATTAAAAGATGATTACTAAAGAGAACTTCTAAGCAAAGGAAGCTTTTAGGATTCTTCTATTTTAAATTTAGATTGAGTTAATTTATTGACATTTAAATATCAATCTTAATGAATTGGAGAAAGAATCTGTAAAAATTTAATGGCCAGAGGTGAGAGAGGAAAGAAAGTACAGTAAGAAGAAGGTACAACGTAGAGTAGAGCGCGGGGTTCGTTCAAAAATCGTTGCTGGTTCCACTGAATCCGTCATTAGTAAGGGTTACGTGGCTACATGAGGCATGAGTTTCCAAAAGAGAGTGCTGGAGCAGTCGTTGTTAACACTGCTCAAACGAAAATAAAAGAGTGTTTGGCAACTGGTTTAAGTTCTTTGGAAATAGTTCAAGATCGTAAAATAATAATTTTATAAGTGATGTGTAGTGAAAGGTGTGGATCTGCAAGTGTGCGCCTATCAGCATTCTTAAACATTAAATGAAGTTTGATTTAATAAGATTATTATTATTATTTTTTTTTTGGAAATAGGTTGGTGCTAAAAGATTTAGATTAAAATTTTTATTTTATTTTTATAAAATTACTAATTACTAGATTTGATTTTATGAATTATGAATAAATTAAAAAAGTTGAAATTTTAACAATAAAGGTTATTGAGTGTAGTGATTTAATATTTATATAATTACTGTATATTTTAAATTCGAGTCTTGACCCTTATTTTTAAAAAATTTTAAAAAAATCATTTTATTCCATGATTAGTTGAACCGGCCAATTTAACTAATTCAACTAGTTAAACTAGTTCCGGTACCTAAACTGGTCAAGCACTACCTCGGTTCTTAGAAAATTGGTCAAGTATTTAGTGTGTTGTCCAAGGAGATTTGGCAACATCCACAACTCTTTAGACAGAAAAGTAATAAAATGTTATTTGTGACCTATTTTTTATTTAGAAAAAGGTTCAATGCTAAAAAATGTTTAATATCCTCCACTTTACAAACTAGACAAAAAAATAAATGTACAAATTATAGTCACTCATCTTTATTATAACTTTTAATTTAGTCATCACCTTTTAAATTTGTGAATTTCATTACTAAGCTTTCTTTTATCTTTATACCGTTCATCAATGCAAAGTAGGATTGTGCCTTCCGTGCTGAGTCCCATACCTGATTAACTGGCAAAAATGATAAATATGACAAGGCCAAAGCCCCTATTTGCACCCTCCATTTATTTCTTTTCCGTGGTCAACACATTTCAAAATTTTTCCTTTTTATTCACACCTTCCACTTTTCAAAACCCCTAAAAAACCCAATATTTTAACGCACCGTCACGACACCGTTAAAAAATACACTATGTGGCACTAAAAAATTGACGTGGCACATGCGGCGTTTCCTTATTCATTAGGTTCAGACGTGGATCTGCTTTTTGATGATGTGTTTTTTTTTTTTTGCACACGTGGACAGCACCTGTGCAGTGGGACCCACTGCACAAGACTTTTCCCAGCTTGTCCCTGCGTCCCCACCAAAAAAAAAAAAATTTAGGGGGGATCCTCGTCGTGAGGAACCCAGATCGGGTTCAAGCTGGGTTCCTCCAGATCTGGGTTCCTCCGGATGAACCCCATGAGGAACTCGACTCTGGGTTCCTCGTCGTGAGGAACCCGATCTGGGTTCGAGCTTATCGGAAGTTAAGCAGATCGGAAGTTCTCCTCACCAAAAACAAACAGAAACAAAATACGAGAGCTTACTGACGTAAAGGCCGCTCTCATCGCTTAAAGCAGAAAAGAAAAAAAAACCCTTCTTGGCTAAGCATACGTCCTAATTACTCTTCAAACCATTATTGGATAATTCCAACACATTACACACAATAAACAGCTTTCCTTATGCCAATTGTCATGGTAGAACAAATCCAACATGACACAGGAAATAAAACTAATCAAAGAAAGATAAAACTGAAAGGTACCTGAATTGAAAGAGTAGAGCTGAGGGTGAGAAGCTGGGATGGTGGATATGGGTGAGGAACCCGATCTGGGTTCGAGCTGGGTTCCTCGCCGAACCCAGAGCTGGGTTCCTTGTGAGGAACTCGATCTGGGTTCCTCGGGAGGAACCCGACTCTGGGTTCCTTGCGACGAGGAACCCAAATCGGGTTCCTCATAAGGAACCCAGCTCTGGGTTCGGGAACCCAGAGCAAATTTTTTTATTTTTTTATTTAAGAAAACCACATCATCAAAAAAAGGCATCCACGTTGGATTGCTAACGGTACATAGTGGCCACGTCAATTTTTGAGTGCCACGTAATATATTTTGTAACGGTACCGTGACGACGCGTTAAAATGTTGGGTGTTTTACGGGTTTTGAAAAGTGAAAGGTGTGAATAGGGAGGAAAAATTTTGAAAGGTGTTGACCGCGGAAAAAAAATAAATGGAGGGTGCAAATAGGGGCTTTGGCCAATATGACAATGTTATAGTTACATTATGAGCTTAAAATTATGATATATTATTAAATAAGATGATGTTTATAATATTAAAAATAAATTTCTAAATGAAAAAAAATTCTAAATGAAATGAATTAACCATAAAATAATACATTATGACTGTAAACTCACAACACCACATAGTTATCATTTTTCAAATAATAAATCACAAATCAAGAAAGTCAGGTTTTAATATGTTATCCAAAGAAATCCGGCCATATCCACATCTCCCTAGACTAAATAGCAAGAAAATGTTATTTGAATCCATATTTCTATTTAGAAGGTTCAAAGCTCAAAAAAGTCAAATATGCTCCATTAATTTTTCAAAATAGACAAAAATAAAAAAGGTGGAAATGTAAATTATATAGTCAGTTATATTTATCATAACTTTTAATTTAATCACAAACATGTAGGATTGAACCCTTTCTGCTGATTCTATACTTGATTACACCGGGCAAAATGATAAATACAACAATGTTATAATTATAATACCATATAAAAGTATAAATTTACAATTATAATATATCATTAAATAAGTAAATACATATAATATTATATGTGGATCCTTAATATGTTATCAAGGAGATTTGGCCATGTTCACAGTTCCCTTTACAAAAAGGGAAGAAAATGTTCTCTGAATCTATATTTTCTATTTAGAAAAATGTTCAATACTCAAATATAGTTAAAGAGTTTGTCTAACCTTGTCATAGTTAA